AAGGGTGAGGTCATAGCAAAAGTGCCCTCTGGGGAGCACAAGAGCATAGGGAATAAGCAGCTGGTAAGAGTGATGGCTCTAAGGGGTGCAGAACCTCCTGGTGGGGTGAGCTTTGTCTCTGAACTCCCATTCACAAACCAGGACCAGCGAGACGGCCAAATCAGAAGCACATCAGCCAAAGGAGGTCACAGCCCAGCCAGACACTGATTGACATGGCAAGGAGCTGAACGAGTCATCAACTGATAGAGTAGCGTAGGGGTGGATCTACAGCAAGTGTGTAAGGAAAAACTCCTGTATAGTCCAAAATTATCTGAAAAAGCCCTTAGGAAGCAAGCACGTGGGTTCTCAAAAGGTCCAAAGCAGTATTTCCTCCAGCTTCGGTGAAGCTCAGCTGAGCAGCAGGAAGCAGGCAGCCTGTGTTCAAGCCACGCTAAACATAAACTGTGTGCTCTTTTTTTTTTTTTGAGACAGAGTCTCACTTTGTTGCCCAGGCTAGAGTGAGTGCCGTGGCATCAGCCTAGCTCACAGCAACCTCAAACTCCTGGGCTCAAGCAATCCTGCTGCCTCAGCCTCCCGAGTAGCTGGGACTACAGGCATGCGCCACCATGCCCAGCTAATTTTTTTCTCTATATATATTAGTTGGCCAATTAATTTCTTTGTATTTATAGTAGAGACGGGGTCTCGCTCTTGCTCAGGCTGGTTTCGAACTCCTGAGCTCAAACGATCCGCCCACCTCGGCCTCCCAGAGAGCTAGGATTACAGGCGTGAGCCACCTCGCCCGGCCAAATTGTGTGCTCTTAAACATTGCACCTCAGTCAGAGTGGCAGAACGTCCACACTTTGAAAGGCGTACAGAAGTGGAGCCAACAGAGGGGCTGGCAGAGTCACAACCCCCAGCCACCCCCGCCCAGGGACAAACACTTGCCGACTGGAAAGGCAGACACAGAATCACCTCAACTATACAAAATATTTTGTTTTCTTTCTTCCTACCTCTCTCTGCTCCCCCCATTTCCACCTTAAAAGCGTAGCTGAATGAGCAAAGGTACAGACAATGGGCCTCTACAGTATTTACTGAGCACCTATTATGTGTCAGACACCCGGGTGATTCTGTGTGGTCAGACAGCTGCTGGATGACACCTACCCCAGAACCACCCATGCAGGCTGCAAAGCCAGGATTAGGCCTGCCATTTGCCAAGTGACCCTGGCCCCCTGTGCCCATACCCTCATCATGGAGCCTTATATCCTAGCTCCTTCCAGAGACACTCCTGAGGATCCAGGTTGGTCCTCAGACCTCCTCAGCAAGGGCAAATACAGCTACAGGGCACACACCTGGGTCTGACCCTGCTCCCCTGCAGTCTGGACCAACCTCTGGGTCATCATGTGGGACCTTTCATGTGGAATTCAAAGTTCCTTCATTCACCCACCAAAGGAGTCCCCTGTACTTACTCTGCTCCAGGTACCAGAAATACCTATATCTGGGCCTATCTTTCCTGGAGGATGGGGATGCTAATTTACAAAATGTAAACCCCAGGAACCTACATTCTCCTGGGATCATAAATAACCTTCCCAGTGTGATAGGCTGAGGAGGGTCTCCACCAGCTTGACACCTCCTCCTCTAAAAAGTGACCACCCCTGTCTTCTTCCTGAAAGGTAGAGATCTAGTACTGTCATCATCATTTTCTTGTTTATTCAATATGCAACATAGAAATTAAGAGTCCAAATCACAAACTGTTAAAAACCTTCAGCCTGTTGAAACTACCAACTACCTGCTATCGTTCCACATAGCAGGGAGGCTGTGTGCAGTGGGATTGGAGGGCGGGGGGCTCCAGAGCTGGAGCTGGGTAGACTTGGGCTTGGACCCAGCCCTGTCCCATACTAACTGTATGACACTGGGCAAGTTACTTAACTTCTCTGTGCCTAGTCTCTTCTTAATTGTGGCCTTCTCCCAGGGTTGGGAGTGTTGAAAGAGAGAATTCAGGTAGAGGGCTTAGCACAGAAACGGACCCACTGGAAGTGCTCGATCATATCATCATTAGGGACCTTTGCCATCAGAACACAGCTTCTCATTTCATCCTGAAAACAACCTGAGACCCACACCTTCAGGGTCCTTGCTGTCACAGGTACTGGATTTTAAAGGATGTGGCCAGAGTGACGCAGCCACTTCTGTGTACACAATTTAGAGTGGTAGCACTTGGCCAGCCACCAGACCTGCTCTCTATTACCTCTCTCCACCCATACGCATGCCTCTGTCCAGCTGACCACAGGCTCCTGACCCTGCACATGCCAGACCATGGTGGCTAACGGTGGTTCGGAGACTCTGTGCCTCAATTTCAATCCTGACTCCTTCATTCCCTAGCTGACGACATCAGGGTAACGACTTCTCTATGCCTCAGTTCTACCATCTGTAAAACCGGGATGATATTTACACCTACTTCCAGATTACTTAGAACAGTGTCTGGTAGGGAGAAAGCACTTTTTTTTTTTTTTTGGTAAGAGACAGAGTCTTACTATGTTGCCCAGGCTAAGTGCAGTGGCTATTGACACCATGGCACACCAAAGCCTTGAACTCCAAAGTTCAAGCAAGCCTCCTGCCACAGCCTCCCTCCTGAGTAGATGGACTACAGGCACGCACCACAGTACCTGGCTTTTTGTTGTTTTTAACCAAAAGAGACGATCTCCAGGACCTCAAACTCAGCATGGTCTCAAGCCCAACTCATCTCAGCATCCCTTGCCCTCAGCCTCATTCTCCTTCCTGTATTCCAGTTTGGTAGCATCACTGCCCACACAAACAACAAAACAATCTCAATCCTCCGCTCTTCCTATATTTCCTCTCCTAGCCTTGCCTGCTCTCTTGCCCCTCCCAGCCATTCCAGCCCATCCAATCACTGAGTCCTGTCAACTCTACCTAAAATTCTTTCCCTGCCAGCACTGGCTTAGTGCAGACCCTCTTCTCATACATAGCTCCCTAAGGCCTCCCCTTTACACCAACCCAACATATCTCACCCCCTCTCGAACCCATCCTCCTTCATGCTCCTACCAGAATTAGTGCTCACGAACAGCAATCTGATCACGCTCCCCTCCGCCTCCTCCAATGGTCCCCAATGCTCCTTTGGTAGTGCCCAAAGCCCTCAACAGCTTGGCTCCAGTCTTCCCCTCCAGCCTCCTCTAACCCTCATGCACTCTCTGCTCCAGCTGTGGGGAATGTGGCTACCCCCAAACATGCCAGGTCCTTTCACAACCCTAGGCCAGTCCTAACCCACTGGGCTGGCAAGCCCCACCTAGCTCCCAGGTCACTGCCACTCATGAGACTTTCTTCAGCAACCTTCTCAATGCTTCCTACCAGCAGACTGTCCACTCCCAAGTGCAGGCAAGGATCGTGCCTTCCCCAGTGGCCCCAGCTCCTGGTAGTAGCTGATACACGGTAGGCACTGAATAAGTAATTCAGCAGATGCCAGATACACTGAAAATACTAACTGGATTTAAAGGTAAGGCACCACCTTTCTCAGTTAAAATTGCCCATGTTCCAAATATAGAATCTCAGAGGGAAGAGTAGGTAGCTACACTAGAAGAAAGAGGGAAGGAGGTTCTGTCCAGAAATGTCACTAATACAAAATGTGCACAGGATGGAGGATAGTGCGAGTTCCAGGCTCAACCCTTTCCAAGATCAGAGTGTGAGTTTACAGACAGTTTCCCTCTGGACTCTGGACCCTTCACTGTCATTAAAGTCTGGGGCTGAACAAGCCACTAGTGCGATCCATCTCTCTCGTTCATGGAGACCTGATCCTTATTTTTCTCAAGTTCCATGTGCTCAAGTCCTCCTGAAGGTGAGCTTTAAGAATGCACAACCACCCCACAGTTCTGCCTTTTCCATCTTTTTACTCACACTGAACCCACAAGTAAAATGTCTGCTGCATCAAAAGGACCCTCAGCCTAGCTGCACCCCATACCCACTTCCCCGAAAGCAAGGCATTAGGTCACTGTATCCACTACCACTGCAACCCTCAGGTCAGGTGAAGCACAACCAAGATCAGGAACACCAGTGAGAGCTGGGGCTTATTCCTGGACTTGGGTATTTCAACTAGACTTCATACATAGATATCTTCACACACAGGCAGACACACTCAGGTCCCTGCCCTACCAAGTCTTACCACGACCTGGGGCTTAACCTGCCATGTCCCTGGCATAGGCAGACAGCCAGGACCCTGGGCACTGCCAATCAGCAAGTAAGCTGACTATGGCCCTGGAGTCTGGACTAAGGTGTCTGCCACCACACCCTACCTACCACACCGACCGGTGTGCTGCATTCTTCCTCCCTGATCCCCAGAACCCTGCTTCAGCTTCATCCTGGCTGGCAGGCAGAAAAGACCTCCCACTGCACCCCAATACCATGCCACACCAAGAGACAGACAATATGACCAAAATCCACTATGAATGGACAGGCCTAATGCAGCCATATCTGCATTTCAGGAGGCCACTGCAAACTGGAACAGACCCAGACTATGCCACTCTTGTATTTATCTGCCATCTACAACATAAAATGTGTGGAAGTAATTAGCAATGATAATTCATCCCTAATACCCCATAGTTATATGGAGTCCATCTTTCAGGAACTTTTCCCTCGGTAATGTGCTTCTTTGGTAATGCATCTCCTACGAAGCTCCTGAAAGTGGGTTCTTCTGTTGGTTGACAGGCGGGAAGATGGACAATTTGGTTTGATTTTAACTGAAGTTTGGAACTAGGAATTTTCCTGGTCCCTCCCCCAGGGAGATATATGTGTTAGGAGCTGGAACCCTGGCACAATTCGCATCCTTGGGGATCGAGGCTCCTCTCATTACCCGCCGCCACGAGGAGCGGCCCGGGGATCTGGGCTCCGAGGAGAGACATGCAGATTGGGGTGAGTCGGGGACCACGGGACCACCCGGCCAGCGCTCGCAACAGGCCTCAGTTTCCCATTCTTGAAGAGGGTGTCCCGTCCAACCGGGGGCCGGCGGGGCCGCTCACCTCTTTCGCCGAGCGGAGCTGCTGGCGCAGCGCGTCCTTGCAGCCGTAGGGGCCGCCGGCGCCCGCGCCGCGGGGCTGGAAGTGCGCCTCGACGCGCGTGGCGCCGCGGTAGGCACCCCGGTAGAAGGCCGGCCAGCCGAGCTCCAGCAGCGGCGGCTCCAGGTCCGACTGCTCCGGGAAGTAGGTGCCCGACGAGCAGTCGTGCGACGAGCCGAAGGAGTCCTCGGCCGCCGCCGCCGCGCCCTCCCCGCCGGGCCGCTCGGCCGCGCTCAGGATGGCGCGCACCTCGTCGGGGTTCAGGAAGCGGCCCAGGTGCTCGCGTCGCAGGAAGGCCGCGAAGGCGTCGGGGCCGCCGGCCAGCAGCTCCTCCAGCGCCAGGCGCCGCGCCTCGCTGAACAGCTCGGCCGGGTTGGGCGGCCCGCACGGCGACAGGCAGTCGGCGGGCAGCTCGTCCAGGGCCTCGGGCCGCAGAGCCATGGCGGAGCTCGGACGGGTCGGCTCTCGGGAGCGAGGCGCGTGCGGACCCGCTTTATATGCACCTTTGAATCAAACCAGCCCGCGCCATTGGCCGCGCCGCCCCGCCCCAGGCCTCCTATTGGCTCTCTCCTTCCCAACGCCAGGAAGGGGCGGGACGCACGCCGCCACGGCCCCGCCCCTGATGCGCTATTGGCTGTACCGAGGCACAGCCGAGCCCTTCCTCTCGCTGCGGAGGTTGCCGAGCGGAATTTAAACCTCGGACTCGGCCGGGGAGGCGGAGCCGGATTGAGGCCGGAGAGCAGGTCCCGGCCGTCCCCGCGCGCCCCCTGCCGGCCGCCCCGCAGCGCGGCCCTGCGTGGCCAGGGCGGTCCGGCCTAGGCAGGGAGCAAAGGCTGGGGCCGGCTCCCACACGCTCTGACCGCGCTGCTCCTGGGCTCTCAGACCCTGCGTGTGGCCACCCGTGTCGCCTCTGTCCCCTGCATTTAACCATTCATTTGTTCGTTTAACAAATACCGGTCCATCATGATAGCCACTCCTTTGATTATACTCAGGTGGCCTTCTCCTCTCTCTTCATGGTTTTGTGCCTGGTAGAACCCCAAAACTCTGTTTTCCACCTGCACCGGGGCAGCCATACAAGGCTAGGGGTGGGAGGAAAAAGACAATCACACTTGCTGACTAATCGTGCTTCAAATTCATGATCTCAGGCGGGCCTTTAAGAGTGCCTGCTAGCTTGCAATTCCTTTACTCACTCTACCTTTTCCTCTCTCCTTACTCTGAGAGCTTGCTTCCTTTTCCCCTGAGAAAATAGCAGTCAGAAGAGAACCTCACACGCTCCCACCACGTCTACTTCCTGTCTGCATCTGAACCTTCTGTACCAGAGACAAACTGTGCCTGAGCCCATCCAACTCCAGCCCTTCTGCCTGGGCACCAGCTTCCAGCTCTCTGCCGCTGACCTGCCTCTCTCCAGCAATTCTCTCCTGTCTCCCAGAACATCGACTTCCCTCTCTACTGATTCATTTCTATCAGCATACAAGCACACTGAAATATTTTTCATCTTTAAACAACCCTCTGGACCCTACATTCCTCTAGAGCTACATCCCCATGTCTCTGCTCTCTTTTGCAGCATAACTGAGTTGTCCATACTTGGTGTCTCCAGTTTTTCTCCAGTTCTCTCTGAGCCCTCTCCAGTCAGGCTAACACCCTGCCCGCTCCTCTTCCAAAACCTCTTGTCCGGGTCACCGTGAGTTCCACAGTGCTAAATGCAACTGTCAATATTCAGGCCACATCTTTGTGTAAAGGAGAGAAAGTATGTACAACCGTAAAGTGCTTCATAAATGTAAGAGGTTGCCATTATTATTTAGCAGCCAATAAACTTTTAAAATGGATGAATGCCCACCTCTGTTAGGACATTTCTCCCTGTCTTTCCATCCCCTGAACATCCCCAGCCTGTTTGTGAAGTTTTTCAAGCCCAGGTACGGGGCCTTCCATGTGTCCCTGCTCTGGCATCCAGAGTCCAGCAGGCTACAAGAAAGCACCTTTTCCATACTCTTTCAAGATACCGACAAACTTCTGCGTGCGACAAGGACAAGGACCGTGGGTGGTGTGGGGCTGTGCAACCACATAGCTGTTCTATGCCTCTATTGCTTGGGGTAAACCATGAGACTACCCCGGGCCCTGCCTGTCTTGTTGTAATAAGTCGAAGTGCTACACAGTATTACACTCCCCCACCGTAAGCTACGTGAAGGGGAGGACGAGGGGGGCAGGGGAAGGGGACAGGACAAGCCAGTGCTCTCCAAGAATGGAACAGAGGAGAGGGGCAGCCTTGTTACACGTGTCATCAGGAAAACCTTTGAAAATGTAGGGAATTAATATATGCTATTATAGGGCCTCCTGTTTATTTCAAAGGGAATATTTGAGGGAAGGAAGGTCATTCCCAACCACCCACCAGTTTTTTGCCATCTCCCAGTCTAGAAAGACACCTGCTCTATGTCACAGCCCCCAGACCTCCCTCTACTTCAGGGGCGTCCCGGGAGAGCCCTCCGTGGTGGGGGCAGGGGCCGGGAGCCCTCACCCACCCTCAGTCCCGGGCACCACCTCCTCACGAATTCAAGTCGGCGCCATTCAAGTGAGCTCATGGCAATAACCAGTCACACCAGCAGGTGTTATTAAAAGGAATTTAATAATCTTAATTAAAAACTCTTAACAGCGAATTCCATCACAGGCCTTGGCAGCTGGGAGCAACTCCAGGGACATGTGCCCCTCTGGGATGCGGCTGAGCCACAGTCTTGGCCACAAGGAGAGGAGGTACCTGGAAGTTACTTCAATACAATATCAAAGATCCGCAAGGATTTTTTTTTTTAAAAAAAAAGTTTTAAATATATTAGACTCTCTTGATTGCCATTTTTACACAAAGCTGCTGATACAGTATACAGAGTTTTTTAACTTTTTTTTTCACATAAAATACATTTTTCTTAAGTGTTCTCTGTACATCAGTGGCTTCTGGTCTGGTGGATTATTGCGGAAGGCTGGGGGTCTGCAGACTTTTCCTGGGTGCGCAGAGCCAGGCCCCGCACGGTGGCACCTGCAATGCCCACGGGGAAGCAGGCTCTCTGGCCAACAAGAGATTCCTGTGGAGCGGAGGTCTATAGCCTCTGGCAAAGGGGGTCACTTCTGCAGAGTCATCCACTGACCATGTGACCCTTTGCTCTTACGTGCCCTGGGGGAGGGGAGCCTATCCCCAGGCCACAATAGCAAGACTTAATTACCGTCCTTCTGGGCATCTTGTAAGGAGCACCCTTCTGGCAAGTACCCCAATATCCTGCTCCAGGGCAGAGAGCAGGTGGGAGAGAGAGCTCAGGATTGAAAGGTAGCTAACACCAATAACCCAAATGGTCTCCTGTTATTACAAAGCCAGCACGCTGTGGTGGGGCAGGAAAGGGGACACACCCTTGTTAACTCTTCTAAGCCCTTTGAAACTGGCCAGACAGTGAGGAGCAGTTTTACTGATGCTGCCTATTTGATGGAGAATATCCTGAAGTCTTCAGGAGCCCTGGGCCTACGGTTCATTCAGCTTCCCTGAGCCTCTGGTCAGAAACTCAACAATCTTTTGACAGCCACCAACTTTCAATTGTTTGCGACATAAGGTCTGAGCAAGGGCCAGCGCTCACAGTGAGCTGTGTGCACCTGCTTTGGAAGTGGCCTCCTTTAGTCTATGGGGAGCTGCAGGGGTCAGGCATCTGGTTGACTTCACTAGGCTGCCTCCAACTCCTTGATCCGCCCCTGCCATGGAAAGGCCTCAATGTTGAAAGAAGCTCCTTTTCCTCCCATTATCCACTACCGGGGTGAGGTTGGGGAGGGGGCAGTCTATGTAATAAATGAGCTAAACGAGCAAGCAACAATGACTGTAAGAACCTGAGATGCGTTTGGCAGCAAACTGCAGACACATTCTTCTAGACACTGACCTCAAACTGCTATTATGCAGTCCCCCAAAGATGCTGGCTGAAGGCAGCTATCCTGGAAAGTTCCAGATGGACTTGGGATGGTGTCTACCTAGAACCTGAGATCTGGCATCTGCACCGAGTGGCAAATGTTATCCAGAGGGGAACATGACAGCTGTTCCCAACTAAAGGGATTTGGAACCAAGCATCTAGGAACTGAAGAGCGCAGGGCTCTAGCCTGGGCTGTAGGTCCTCTGCCTCAGGTGACCTGAGCGGGCCTGCTCATGCCCGTGCCCCCCAGGGATGAAAACCCTAAAGAACAGTCCTCCTCACTCTGTCTTGCTCCTCCTTTACCCGCAGAGCCTAACACAGAGCCAGGGATGTCGCCTGTGCTCAATAAATGACATGAGTGAATATAGATGAATGACCCCGGCTCATTCATTGGAGGTTGTTCCCCGACTTGCCCCTGAATACCCAGGAGACCCACAGGTAAAGCTCCCCAGGGACTCAAAGCCCTGAGAGGGAATGGTTTTTCCCTGGCTGAAAACATGAGCTAATGACGGCTCCTGTCGAGGAAGCAGCTGGGATTCCTGGTCTCCTGGGTGGGGAGGAATGGCCCAAGGGCAGGAGGCAAGGGGGAAGGAGGGAATGGCCTCTAGGGCTCAGGGTGGGCAATAAATGCCTTCAGTGTTTGGTCCCTGAGCAAAAAGATGGGAAAACCTGCCTCTCCTGAGGAGCGTGTGGCCTCCCTCGGCACTCCCTACCTGGTAGCTGAAGTCAGGTCATGAAGGACTTCGGTGTCAGTCTGGGTCAATCCTGCCTTCAGCCAAAGGAATGTGTGTTTTAGATCACAGAGGCTGAGATGCTGGAAAGCCCACCCCGGCCCCCAGGGACGTGGGACAGATCCTGTACACCTGTCTTCAGTCTCCCGAGCTGCCTGTCTACTCTACACTACCTCTGTCCTGGCGTTGGGGTGGGGTGGCCTGGTGCTGAGACCCTCTCTGCATCCAGCGGCCACTAGGGGCACAGTCACTCCCACGAGTCCTGTGCTCTGGCCCAGCTGCCCTGCTCCTGGGAGAACATCAGCCAGGCCCCTTGAGGTCCAGCTCCCGCTCCGGGTTACAGGGGCCAGGGGGGGCCAGAGCAGGGGGCTGGGACTGCAAACAACAGACCCCCTTACTAAGGTTATGGCACAAGGGGGGCTCCCCAGCCTTAGCCCCCTAGCCCAGGGGCCCCTCAGGGAGAATTTCTCAGACTCAGAAAGAAGCAGGTTAAAGAGAATGTGGATCTGTTCCCCAAATTAGGAGCTGGACCTGGGGAGCCCCTTCAGCACTCTAAGGAGGTAGTTTAAGGACAAATAAAAGGCGCACAGAGCAGGGGGCAAGCCTGCAGCTTGTTAGTCAACACCAAAAGGTGCCCAACTCATGGCAACAATCCCAAATGGGCTTGGGGAGAATGCAGGGGTGAGGTGGAGGGCAGCTGGCCCTTCCTGGTCCCTTCCTGGGCCTCCCTCCCCAGCATCAGGAAGACCAGGGCTGTGGAACTGCAGAGCTGGGTGAGACCCCACTCCAGCCCTGCCACTGCTCCGCTCAATGCAACACAGGACGTGACCACCGGCACCCTGGGTCTGCAGCCCTGGAGCATCACCACTCCCGACAGGAGCAGGCCGGGAGCCCCTGGGCCAGGCAGGGACTCACAAGGGCAGACTGGCAGACTTGCCTCACTGAGCATTCCAGAAAAGGCCAAGCTGGGCCCGGGGTCCTGAGCACTGGCTCTGCACAGATGGCTGCTGTGGCGGGGAGGCCCAGACAGCCCTGAACTGCTCACGCGGACAGCTCAGTCTAAGCAGGGCTGGCTGAGATGGGCTGGGCTGAAAGAGCCTGGATATTCACAAAGGTCAGCCGGGGCTGGGCTCTGTCACTGTTTTTCGGAAATAAATTCACCCCCTCCCTGGAATAGGGCTTCCAGTGAAAGCTCCTCATTTAGCTTCATTTCCCAATACTGGCCAGTAAAACCTAGTGATCCTGATACTAGCCATAAAAGAAAGTGGATTCAGTTACTTCCCACCCGGAGTTTTACAGCCTAAAAGAATTTTTTTATCAAGTGCACTTTTGTAAACACTGACCTTGCCTCGTTCCTGCCTTTGATGCTTCCATCCAAGAGTAAAACATGGTTTATTCCAGGAGTGGAATAGCCTGCTTTTCCCCCTCGACCCTGAGTGACCACATGGCTGGCTCCTGGCGTGGGCAGGAGGGCGGCTCTCAACAAGGCTGTGGGGAGCAGGCCTGTGTCCGTCCCGTCTGACCCACGTCCAGGCTCCCTGTGAACACAGCCAGGGCTTCCTGCCCCTGCCACGTGCGGCTGCTGGCCCAGACCTCGGGATGACTCTGGGCTGGACAATGGGTCTCAGCCTGGCAGGCCGCCTCCCCTGCTAAAGCCACACTGGCAGTGGATGAGACTCTGAGTCTTAACCTCCATCCCTTTGGGAACACCCCGTGCATTCCAGCCCCACCTGCTTCCCGTGAGCCCAGGTGTGTCATCCCTTCACACGCTGGTTGAGCGCGCACGCGCGTTTGTGTGTCGATAGGGGACGTGCAAGTATTCCAGAGAAGCCTTTACCAAGAACAGAACGGGGATCCCAAGCCCACCCTCCCAAAATGGGACAGCAGAGTGAGCCAGGAGGCCACGGCGGGCCTTGTGTAGGCGTGGACGATGCAGCAGGAAGCAGAACCTGGGGAGAGGAGAAGCTGCAGGCAGCTGGGTGAGGGGTGGGGTCGGCGTTCCTCTGGAAAGCAGAGCCCACCTCTCCCGGCTGCCCTCTGGTACCTCCCCAGCCAGGGCTGTTGGGCTGGCCTGGATTCCAGGGACCCCTCCCCGGGACATCGCTCTCCTCCGTTACAAGGAGACTAGGAGATCCGGCAGCAGCCATGGACCTTCTCCTCCATCTCCTCCATGGGGGCCTTGAACTTTAAGAGCGGGGGGTCTCCGCTGGTGACCGTGTAATACACCGAGGTCCCGTTGCTGCTGTACGGTGAAGTTCTGCCTCCGATCAAGGGGGCCTTGCCTTCGCTGCTACTCTCGCCCGTCCTGGCCATGCTGCTGCCCAGGTGGGTGCTCAGGAAGGGGTGGCTGAGCAGCTTGGCTGCAGCCCGCTGCCGCTTCAGCTCCAGAAGCGTCTGGGGGCTCTGCTCCTTGTAGCCACTCCAGGGTGGGGTGGTGTCAGCCACACCGGGGTTGCCATAGGCCATGCTGTAGTCAGGCACCTCATGCACCTTCCAGACGTCCCCGTTGGCCAGCGCATACTGGTAGGCGCTGACCGGAGCTCGGAGCCCATTCTCAACAGGCATGTCCAGTTCACTTCGTGGAATCTTGGTGGGAAACTCGGAGAGCAGCACGGGCTTCTCTAGCCTGGGGTTCTGAGAGTGAGAAGGACAACATTACCAGTTGGCTAGAGGATCTGAACCCACTACCCACCTGCACCTCTGCTGGGGACATTGTTGTTCGGACCTGCCCTCCATCCATTTTCCCTACCTGGGTGTTAGGGCCCCTCATGTCCTCTGGGGAACCACCAGTCTATGTGTTTCAGTGGAGCTGACCCACCCCAGCCTTGCGCCAGGGGATGGACCATGACCCAAACCCTGGCCGATCAACCTTTGTCACTATCGGGATTGGTCCAGGGATAGGTTCTTAACTGAAATAGGTTCAGTGAAACTCAACCCTGGGACTTTTGCTAGAACAACTGGGAAAGGGAAATTTTAGCAAGAACTCTGAGTAGGAAGAATGATCGAGTACACCTGCAGTCGCAGCTACTTGGGAGGCTGAGGCAGGAGGATGGCTTGAGCCCAAGAGTTTGAGGCTGCTATGAGCTATGATCACGATGCATTTTCCAGCCTGGGCAACAGAGCAAGACCCTGGACCCCACCCCAAAAGAGAGAGACTGTTCTGATGATGCATTGTGAGCTCCTGGATCTAGGTGGGCCCCGAGTTTTCAGTTACATGAGCCACTAATTTCCTTTTTGGTGTAAGTCAATTTTAGTTGAGTTTTTCAGTCACTTGTAACCCTTCCTCTGTAATCCCAGCATATCTCTGCTTCAAAGGACATTCTCGCCCAAGAATCCTGTATACCCAGTGATCCTTGGATACCAAGACCTTGAAAAGTAGCTGCTGCCTAGAAACTAGAAACTAAAAAGTAGAAACACTTACAATAACGAAAATGCAAAACATACCAAAACTCACCATAAACAATGTCAAAGGACACATGAAAAAACTGGAAAAATATCTTCCACATATATAACAGAAAAGGGACTCATTTTCTAAATATATAAAGAGCTCTTAAAAGTCAGTTTTTAGAAGCCAAACTACCCAATGAAAAAAGTAGGCAATGGACACTAATATGCAGCCCATAGTAATATATAGATATACATAGCATATAAACATCAGAAAAATATTCAATCTCACTAATAATTAATGACAAAATTAAAACAACAAAATACCATTTTTACCGATCATATTGGCAAATACTCTTAAAGTTTGCTATTACTCAGTGTTAGCAAGTGTGTAGGGAACTAGACAAGACTGTAAACTGCCACAACTTCTTTGGAGGATAGTTTTGCATTATTCATCCACCCCCAAAAAAATTTTTTTTAGAGAACATATACTTTGCACCAGCAAGCCCATTTCTAGGACTTTGTTTCAAAGGTATACTCTCTTGTGGATGCAAAGCTTGAAAGTCGTCACTGGCTAAGTGAGAAATTGTGGCCAGTACTTCTATTGGAATGCCCCACAGCTGGCAAAACGCTTAAAGGAAGTCCACACATGCTGGTATGAAAAGAGCTCCAAGAAATACATATTTAGGTTAAGGCAAAGAACATTCTCCACAGTAAGTTTCCATTTATGTGTGTGTTTCTTCCTCTTCTCTTTTAAATGGTTCCTTCTGAACAATGCAGGCAGACTGATGCTATATCATGGGGAGACAGATTCTTTATTATTTTGAATTTTTGTTGTTGTTATTTGAGACAGGGTCTGGCTTTGTTGCCCAAGCTGGATTGCAGCAGCACAATCATAGCTCACTGCAGCCGCAAACTGCTCCCGAGTACCTGGTTGTAGGGGCACGTGCCACTGTGCCTGGCTAATTTTTTTTTTTTTTTTTTGGTAAGGATGGGGTCTCGCTATGTTGTTCAGGCTGATCTCAAACTCTTGGCCTCAAGCAGTCCTCCCACCTCGGCCTCCCACAGTGCTGGGATTACAGTCGTGAGCCACCACACCTGGCCTAAATTTTTTATTTTTTTATTGTTAAGAGATGGGGGTCTCACTCTGTAGCCCAGACTGGAGTACAGTGGTGTGATCATAGCTCACTGAGACCTCGAAATCCTGGGCTCAAGCCATCCGCCTGCCTCTTCCTCCCAAGTAGCTAGGACTACAGGCACATGCCACCATGCCCGACTGATTTTTTTTTTTTTTTTTCAGCAACACAACAGGGTTTTGCTATGTTGCCCAGGCTAGACTCAAACTCCTGGGCTCAAGCTATCCTCCCATCTTGGCCTCCTAAAGCACTGAGATTATAGGCATGAGCCACTGCACCTGGCCAAGAGACAGATTCTTGATGGTCTAAGTTAGTGCTTCTCAATCTTCAATGTGCCTATGAGTCACCTGGGAATCTGTTAAAAATGCATATTCTGATCCAACAGGCCTGAGTTGGGGCCTGAAATTCAGCATTTCTAACAAGTTCCTGCCAGTGTTCTGAGTGGGAAGGATCTGAGACACTGGTCCCGGCTTGGATGCACATTAGAATCATCTAGAGATTTAAAAATACATATAACAATGCCAATCTGAAAAGACCACATATTATATGATTCCAACTATATGACATTCTGGAAAGGCAAAGCTATGGCGACAGTAAAAGATCAGTGTTTGCCAGGGTTTGGGAGGAAGAACAGATACAGCACCAGAGATATTTAGGCAGTGGAAATATTCTGTGCAATACTACAATGGCTACTTGACATTACGCATTTGCCAAAACCCATAGACTATACAATGAGTGAACCTAATGTCAACTATGGGCTTTGGTATTAATAATGGTATTAATAATGTGTCAATATTGGCTCATCACTACACTAATGCAAGATGTTAATAATGGGGGACCTGGGGGGGTGGGTAATGAGGAAGCACATGGGAATTGTCTGTACTTTCCACTCATTTTTCTATAGACCTAAAACTGCTCAAAAAAATAAAGTCTAACCTAGGCATGGTGGCTCACACCTGTAATCCTAGCACTTTAGGAAGTCGAGGCAAGAGGATTGCTTGAGTTCAGGAGTTCAAGACCAGCCTGAGGAAGAGCGAGACCCCGTCTCTCCTAAAAATAGAAAAAATTAGCCGGGCATGGTGGTGCACACCTGTGTTCCCAGCTACTTGGGAAGCTGAGGCAGGAAGATTGCTTAAGCCCAGGAGTTTGAGGTTGCAGCAAGCTATCATGATGCCACTGCACTCTAGCTGCGGCAACAGAGCGAGACACTGTCTCAAAAAAATTTAAAAAGTAAAAAAATAAAGTCTATTGATTAAAAAAAAAACACATATATCCATCTTCAGTGTCAGAAACCAAAGCACTGAAGGAAAAGGAATAACCACAGCATGAAGAGTGTGGGTTAGAGGGAAGAGAGCTTTTCTCATGATGTATTTATTTGCCTAGGCACAAATTATGGGCTGAGCTACACAAATAAGAGCACATTTGATCCTAGAACACCCCCTGTGGTCAGCACAATCGTCTGGACAATGTCGAACTTAACAGGAGCCCTGAGAGAACAGGAAGGTTAAAGAAACCTCCCCACCATTTGTGTCCCGGGGAATGGCCCACTGGGCAGAGTCACCCTTCCCCTTATGGTTTCCAGAACCCTCACGTGACCACTCCTTTGCCTGGGACGACCCAGACACAGTCCTCCAAATTCTCATTCTTTTTCTCTCCAACGAGTAGCTGAACTGTTTTCCCCACTTATCGAGTGAAAAGACATGCTTGCTAAATGACTTAACCAAACTTTAGTCAAGCTGTCCTCCCCACAGGACCCTGAACCTGCACTCATCCCTCCGGGTAAACAGGCCCCGCAGAGCAGAACATCTCTCCTGAAGACCCTTCTGGAAATGGGCCGACCATGGGACACACATTCCTGGTCAACTGTCTGATCACACCACCCTCCCAGGCCACCCTCGGTTCTTCCAGCCTCTGTCCTCCTCCCTAGAAAACAAACTCCTTTCTTTCTGAACTCCAAGATCCTTGCCAATTCTGAGGTTGAAGCATTCCACTTATTGCTACAATCATTTCAAATAAAGTCTCTCTTTAGACTTACACACACATGCACACACACACACATGCACGCACACATACATATACAGGGCCTAGGTCCCAACTCCTGAGATTCTGATTTAATCAGTCTGGACTGAAGTCTAGACATCAGGATTGAAAAACAACAAGAACAACAGCAACATCTCCCCAGGTGATTACACTGTACAGGTAAATTTGTGAACCCCTGGTTGAAGAGATGATGGCGGTCATCACTGCTGTGCCCGGTACCAGGGACTTAGCTCTGCCACAAGTGTGAACCAAGGTCAGGCCTGAGGGCTAACAGGGCGGAGCCTTGGCAGACACCCAGTTTGGGAGTCAGGCTGAACAAATATTCCCGTACATAAGTGGCTCAGAAATTCTTGTGTGTATGAGAATCACCACATGTGCAGTGGGGCCTGAGAATCTGCATTTCCAGTAAGTTCCCAGGTGCTGCTGATGCTGCTGGTCCGAGGACCACACTTTGAGAATTCCTCCCCTAGAGAGCACCTTGCCAGATCTAAAGCCTTGAAATGGGGGGGATGAAAAAAGGAATGAGTTTTGAGCTCTGTAGCATGTCCTGTGACCTCCTTTCTTCCTCCAGGGCTGGGTGACTGCTGGCTATGCCAGCTGGGTTCCTTCTCTCCTTTTCCCCAGCCCCAGAGGCAAAGTAGCCCATCTGTTTGCCTTGCCCAACCCCATCAAACAGCAGCCTTGATGAGGACGCCTAGAAATTAACAATACCACCACCACCACCACCACCAAAATCACACATAACTAAGGGTGGCTTCCAGCATCCATCTGCCCTTCCCCTGTGTCCTACAGCCTTCATGACCGCTGAGGCTCCGCATCCATGAGCACTTCTGGGGGAGTCCTGGGGCCTGTGAGATCTGAACAAACACAGGGTCAAATCGAGTGTGGAGGAGTAGGGGCTACTTGCACGAGGATTTCTTTAAGAACCTCAGTCTTTCCTACAAATCAATAAGGACAAAATAACCCAACAGAAGAAGAGCCAGCTGCACCAAAGAGGATAATGAAATGGCCAATACGCATATAAAAAGGTGTTGAACATCATCCGTCCTCAGGGAAATACAAATTCAAGATGTGAGCTACCATAGCAACCCCTGCAGGATGGCCCCAGTAATTAACAGAAGAACGGACTATACCAGGGGTTGGAAATGCTCCTGCACTGCTGATGGTTGAGATGACAGGTGCAACCACCTTGGAAAATTGCTTGGTGCTATCCACCAAAGCTAAACATATGCTACCCCGTGATTCTCACTGCATTCCTGGGTATATACCCAACACACAATAGTGCTTATAGCCACCAAAAGACATGTGCAAAAACGTTTATAGCAGTTTTATTCATAGGAGTCAAAAACTAGAAACAACCCAAATGTCCACCACGAGGAGAATGGAGACGTAAATTATAATATTCAAACAATAGAATTCTACAGAGCAATGAAAAAGAAGAAACTTCTGCTCTATGCCAAGACATAGATGACTCTCACAGACGTAAAAGAAGCCAGACACAAAAGCCAACAAACTGCATGGGTCCATTTGCATGCACACACACATACAAAACTAGTCTTTAGGTCTCAAAGTTCAATAGGGGGTCCCTCTGGGGTGGGAGGAAAGGTAGAGGTAATAAGTTAAATTAAAATGAGTTCATACTGGATTGATGTGGGCCCTAATCCCAATGACTGGTGTCCTTTTACAAAGAGAACACAGAGACCCAGACACATGCACACAGAAGAAAGCCACGTGAAGATGAAGGCAGAGATTAGAGTCATGTTAGCAAAAGCCAAGGAACGCCTGAGTCACCAGAGCTAGGAGAGAAGCATGGGACAGATTCCCCAGAGGGAACCAAGCCTGGTGTCACCTTGATTTTAGGCTTTTGGCCTCCAGAACTGTGAGAGAATCAATTTCTGCTGTTTCAAAGCACCCAGTTTGTGATCATTTGTTACTGCAGCCACGGAAACAACTATGCATCCTCTCAGGAAAGCAGTTTCAAGCCCAGGACCACTGGTGGCTCCTGGAGCGGGCTCCTCGGAGGTCCTACCAGCACCCTACCCAGGTTTTCAAAAACCTTCTCCCAACCACATTGTTCTGACAAACACAGTTCTCAACATCTTAGTATATTTCCTGGGGAAAAAAGCTGTTTGGTGCTCTCAGCTCCTGGTGGGAAAGCCCTGCTGAACCTCTCTTCTGGGCAGCCCACAGCTAGCTCTGCTGCAGAATAGGCGGGCACATGGCGGTCACTCGCTCCCTGCCACCTGGGCCTCTAACATGCCCGGGGGTCACCTCATTCACTACAGTGGCCGCCACCATCAGGCAGCTACCTTCCTCTGGAGGCTCTGAGACGGAGAGGCAAGGCCAGGCTGGCTGGCGTCCTCCCCCCAAGGCAGTGGCTATCACCGAGGGCAGGCAGGGCAGGAGACCACTCACCGGGTCCTTGTTCTCTTGGTCTGTCCTGGTCTCCCTGATGTCCCCATTGTAGGTCGAGGTGCGCTGGTCCTCGGCCGCACTCCGCTGCTGCCACAGGATGGCCTCGCCCTCGTACTCCTTCCGGTACAGGTTGGTCCTGTCCGACAGGCTGGCTCGACGCACCACCTTCCTGAGGGGACAGAGGGGATGCTGGAAGGCTGTGCCCGGGCGCCACGGGCAGGAGCACACAGGGGACCCCTGGCTGCCCTGCCCCCGACTCACCCACGGCTGCCTGCACTGGATGTCCTCCGGCTCAAGGACGACTTGTGCCGCAGCTGTGACTTCATGATCACATCGTGCTTGTGTTTCAGCTCCAGCAGCAGCACCCTGAACTCCTCCTCCTCACACAGGTCTGAGGGGGCAAAGGGATCAGTAGCCGGGGCAGGGCACAGGCCCGTGGCCCACGAGGGTGCTCCAGACCAGAAGAGCTGCCACCCCGACCCACTGACAGCTCCGAGCATCTTTTGGGCCAGGCAGGGAGGGAAGAAAACAATGCCAGCCTCATTTCCTGGTCTGCAACCCAATCTTTGGAGGTTGGTAAGAATGGGACACCCAGGTTCCATGCACAGTCACAACTCCTAAGGTTCCCAGCTATGACCAGGGATTCGAACTCCTCTTTGATAGTTTCCAAGAAGAGTCACCGAGTCTCCACTGATATGAGAAGTATTCAGGGAAATAAGCAGGTAGCCCATGTGGCCAAAGAAGGACATTATTTGAAGATGCTGAGGAATCCATATACCCCACACCCACTCCATTCACCTTCCTCCATCTATCTACCAAGGCATCTATCCATAGATTCATCTTCTACCCACCTATCCACTTATTCATCTATTCATCCATCCATCCATCTATTCAACCACACATCATCACTTCCAACCTTTTTTTTTTTTAGACAGAGTCTCACTCTGTCTCCTAGGCTAGAGTGCCGTGGCACCAGCCTAGCTCACAGCAACCTCAAACCTCAAACTCCTGGGCTCATGTAATCCTCCTGCCTCAGCCTCCTGAGTAGCTGGGACTACAGGCAGGAACCACCATGCCCAGCTAAGTTTTTCTATTTTTAGTAGAGACAGAGTCTCGTTCTGGCTCAGGCTGGTCTTGAACTCCTGACCTCAAGCGATCCTCCCATCTGGGCCTCCCAGAGTGCTAGGCATTTCTACCCATCTACCCCACTCATCCATCCATCCATCCATCCATCCATCTATCCGTCTGTCCATTAATCTACCATCTATTAATTTACTCATTCATCCAACTATCTACATAACAATTTATTGATCTAGCCAACCAAATATTCATCTATTTATCCTTCCACACATCAAAAAAATTGATGACTGCCTATGTGTGCACCAGTGTTTTGCTGGACTCACCTATTGGCATCTCATCCATGGATGTCCTTGCACTGAGACTAGCCCCATGGGACACCAAAAGTTCTGCCATCTGCATCTGAAACACAGGAAGAAGATCGTGTTCCCCTGCCCAGGGTTCACAGAACCTAGGAGGTGGAGAAACTGCCCGAGGCCTCTTAGGATGTGACCCAAAGAATGGCAGGACAAAGTTGATTCCCAGGGAAGGCCCTGCTCCCTGGAGCCATGGCGGTAATCCTGGCAGGTGCAATGTCCGTGGCACCCCGCCAGCATGCCTGAGCCACACCAAGAGGGAGGAGAGGAAGGAGTCAACTGTAACTCTAGAGCTCGGGTGTCTTAGGAGGGACTGCGTAAACTGCAATCAGAGTTTTCTATCTGGAAACAAATGGAGAAATTACTCAAAGTGGAAATGCTAGGAATTTGCTAATTTGGCAAATTTGATTATCATTCTATCAGGACAGAACTTGTCAAATATTTTTGCAAACTCCCTAGGCCTTTTCAGATGCCACATACTAGCTGTACTCAACACCTTAAGCGGGTCTTGCACTCTTTAGAACCAATCACCAGCCCAAAGGACTTGGTGACAGCCAGTTAACCTTGTGCTGGCCTCCTCAAGACCCCTGTTGGTGGGAATTACCTGTCCCCAAAAGGCAGCCGCGTGCAGGGGCTCCCAGCCATCCCAGTCCTTCACGTCCACACGCACACCGTGGTCCAGCAGGAGCTCAGCTGCCCGCAGGTATCCATTGGCTCCGGCTATGTGCAGCTAGAGGAGAGGAAAGAAGTGAGCATTCCCCAGAGCTGCAGTTCCCAACCTTTTTGGCATGAGGAACAGGTTTCGTGGAAGATGATTCTTCCATGCACCTGGGAGGCGGGGGCGGTGAGGGGGGAGCAGAGCTCAGGCAGCAATGCTCGGTTCCTAACACGCCACGGACCGGTATCAGGCCATGGCCTCAGGGGTTGGGGGACCACAGCCCTAAAGGACTGGCCCCACGGTGGAGGCAGGATATCCCTCACTCCCACCCAAGTCCCAGAGCATCCTTGGGGCCAGCAGAATGGAATAGAATGACATGGAAACATCAGCCATATTGCAGAGGATTATTAAGTCTGAAATATGCACCTAGAAGGGAAGGCAGAGAGGTGAACTCTTCTCCTCTGTGGTTGGTCTTAGTACCCATGTGCTTAAGGCAACAGCATTTACTGAGACCCTACTGTGTGCGGAGCCCTGGAGAAGGTGTCTCAGAGGTCCAATTCTGGTTTTAAAATATGCCTACAAATTCTTTAACACACCTTCCTTTAAAAGATGGAGCGTGATTGCTCTTCCCTTGAAGGCGGGCCAACTGAGTGACTCACTTCTAACAAGTAGGATATTGTGAAGTGGCAATGTGTGATTTCTGAGGCTGGGGCAAAAAGACGCCGCTGTTTCCACCTTACGCATGCTCGAATCAATCACTCTAGGAGGAGGCAGCCACCGTGTGGTGAGGACTCTCAAACAGCCCTAAGGAGGGAAGAAACTGAGGCCTCTGCCAACCGCCAGCACTAACTGGCCAGTCATGTGCGTGAGCCGTCTTAGAAGTGGATTCTCTAGCTCCAGTCAAGCCTTCAGATGAGTCTGCAGCCCCAGCCAACATCCCGATGGAAATCTCATGAGAAATGCCAAGCCAGAGCCACCCTGCTGAGCCACGCCTAATTCCCTGACCCACGGAAACCACGTGAGACAATAAATATTTACTATTGTTTTAAGATGCTACCTTGTGGGGTGATTTGTTATGCTGTGACAGATGACCAACACAACTGACAGGAGAAAGCCCCATGTTGAGGTCCCCACTCTTCTACCTGGCACCATTCAAGGCCTCTAGTCATAGCCACTGCCTAGCAGACCTGGGCTGTCCCACCTGTCCAATCTCCCAGGAAATATACAAAGTGCTTAGCACATGATGAACACTCAGTAAGGGATTAACATTCTTAGAGAGCCCTGAGTAAGGACAAGGTGCACCGTGATAACGAATGAAGGAGTGTGGGGGCGCCTCGATGGCCCTTCGGCAGCGTCTCAGTGGCACAACAAGAAAAGAGTTTTCCGCCCCCCTTCGTGTGAAGCAGGGTGAGGCAATTAGCGAACAGCACACATCTGTTTATACTCATACCTCCGGTTATCTCTTGGGTTGTGAAGAAAGGCAAAAGGGAGGTGGGATGCACAGGGATCGCGCAGAATTCAAAGAAAATTAATCACTTCAAAGGTCAGCTCATGGCCAGCGCATAATTAGTTTGTGCCTTGCTAGGGCCCTTTGGGGGGGGGGATAAAAGGCACCCCGCAATTCAGGTCGGGGTCCTTGCCTAAGGAGAGCGACCACTGCGTTGGGGCTCGAAGGCTCGGACCCTGGCTAGCCAGAAAATAAACCTCCTCTTTTGTGATTGCATCCTCAATGTCTCTGCTTTTCTGTCCGGTGGGGCTGTGGAAGGTCGGTCCCTAACAGGAGAGAGAAGGAGATGAGGCCAAGAGAAACCCACTGCCCAGTCAAGGTGGAAGACAGAGGTGAGAGTCCACAGAGGCCCACAGAAGCCCCTGCTGGGAGGTAGCCAGAGAAGTCCAGGGGGGCTGAGGTCTGGGGCAGCAGAGTCAGTGGGACAGAAAAGGTGTGACCCCAGGAAGTGACCCTTCAGCACACAGCCCTGAATGTCAGATGCTACCTCATCCCGGGGCAACACTGTTGTAAGTTCTGGCAAATGGAAGTTTTCCTTTCCTTTTTTTTTTTTTTTTTTTAATTTGCAGAATAAATCCAGGGTATGATATGGCATAGGCACACATGAAAATCAGTATAATTATCTGATTTATGAATGTCTGATGCTTGCCAGTTGTGGAGAATGACACCTGGCCAGCCAGACATTACAAACCACAGGGCTTCTGTACTGGGGAATAAAAAGGCACGAGAGGAATAGTGATATTGTTTATAACGATGATGACCATTGCTAACATCTATTGAGAGTTTACAAACTCTGTGCTAAGCACCTACAGGTAGAATCTCATTTAATCCTCCCAACAACCCTGTGAGGAAGATACTATGATCTCCAGTTTATGGGGAAGACCTGAGACCTACTATGTGCCTGCCCCATGGGGCTACAGCCACCCCGAGACCAGCCTCAGCCCAGGAGAAGAAGACTCCTGCATCTAGGGGGCCCAGGGACAGACCCAGTGGAGCTCCAGCCATGGTGGGCAATCCCTGGTGCAGCTTGGCCTTGAGTTTAGACAGACCTAAGACCCCTGAGCACCCATGGCCAGCACGGAGCCTGAGCCCAGGGCGGGGAGTGAGCCCATCGGGGAGTGAGCTTCCACACCATACTCGCTTTCAGTTTCGAAGCTGCAGAAGTAGAACCTCCCAGTACTGGGCTGCAGTGTGCTATGGGAGGCAGCCTCTGAGGACAGGCCAGGAGGTTTCCCAAGTCACTGACATTTGAGCTGCAAGGACGGGTGGTATCCACCAGGCATATTTGAGAGAGAAGAAGATTCCATTGTTTCCTATCTCTACGATCTAGTAAAGCACGTGGCACAGAGGAGGTGCTCATAACTGTGTGTTGACTGGATGGACGGATGGGCTGATGGACAGATGGATGGATGACTGGGGGTGTCCAGACTCTGAAGTCAGGGAACCCGGAGGAGAGGCGGGTGCAGCAATATCAGGACTGATGAGGCCAGGCAGTGCGGTGGAGGGGACATAAGGCAGGGGAATTGACAGTGCAACGCAGGATGGCACAAGTGGGTGGCTGAGTGGTGGCACCAGTCCTTGAAGGGGAACATCATTACAGCAGGGGGAATGATGAGCTCAGGATGGAGCCCTTGAGCCTGGGATGAAGGAGGATCCTGGGGAGGGAGCAGGTGGTGAACAGGCTGGATAGTGGCCAGGTTCTCTAACAGGCTGAGCCTGCTCTGCTAACCCTCCACATTCCAGGGGCCATCCTGGCCCCACAGGGATCTGGAGGAGGTCCAGGGCCCCAGACAGGCCCCGACTGTACAGGCGTGGCCCCCACTGGGTGCTGGTTCACTTCGGCCCTACTTGCTCTCGGTTCTGGTACTGGCCAAACCAGCCTGGCCCATCTCCTCACCAGTGTGGCACCCTGGGCGTCTACCCAGTCGAGGTCCTGGCCCGCTGCGATCATGCAATGGATGTCGGCGATCATCTGCTGCTCCGGGGCTGCCCGCATCTCGTTGATTTTCTCTTGGGTGATGCCTGCAGTGGGGAAGAGGGGATTTATTCAGTACCCTGAGGCCTAGGACGCCAGGGAGGGGGCAGATGGGGCAAGCATGGCTCCTGTTCCCCAGGGTCTGCCAGTCCAGGGGGCCACACAGACATGTCCCAGATCTTTTTCCTCCGGGCCCAATGAACACAGGCACCCTGTGTTGGCCCACGGAGTGATGGCCACTCCTACCCGGCACCCAGTAGGCACTGTATTAACATCGGTCATTTTGACACGTGCTGTTCTCCCACCTAAAAGTCCCTAGCACGAACGTGGTCACCTCCAACTGCTCAAATGGACAGCTCTGGCTTGTCCTTTAGGTCCTAGACTGGATCACCTCCCCAGCTGGCCTCCGCAGACCACCCTATCTGACCAGGGTCTCTGTTCGTTCCCTTCGTCTTGTCCACGGTCATGTTCATAGCAGCAAGCACAATGCGCAATGAATTTTCGTTGCAGGAACAACTGAATTAATGAGTATATTACTTTTGAATGGAGAGTGGAGTCAATTGCAGCAGAGGGGCCCAGAAAGACATCTTTAACCTGAATTCCTGACTGAGAAGTTTGTTACTGGCAGCCACTAACGGTATTTAAGGAGAGAGTGACACACTCCATAAAAAGATCCATTAGACCAGGCGTTCTTGTATAGAATTCATGGGAGGTGGATAAACTTGAAAGGAGAAAAAAAATGACATGTTTATTTTGACTAAGCTTTAAATGAAATTTAGCATTTCCTACCACTAGAACATAAGCGAAACCAGTAGTAGCATTAGCGGTGCTTTGTCTCCAACAGAAACCGCAGGCATTTTCATATCATGTTATCTTGTTGTTTAATGAATCAATAAAGTGTCTATCTAAGACATTTAAAAATATTTTGGTAGCTATGTTTTAATATAATTGGCTTCCTTTATAATCCTATGATTTTATAACTGCATCTAGAAACATCATTTTGAGCCGGGCATGGCGGCGCCCGCCTGCGATCCTAGCACTCTGGGAGGCCGAGGCAAGAGGATCGCTTAAGCTCAGGAGTTCGAGAGCAGCCTGAGCAAGAGCGAGACCTCGTCTCTACTAAGAATAGAAAAATTAGCCAGGTGTGGTGGTGCGCACCTGCAGTCCTGGCTACTCAGGAGGTTGAGGCAAGAGCATCACTGGGCCCAGGAGTTTGAGGTTGCTGTGAGCTATGATGATGCCACTGCTCTCTAGCCTGGGCAACAGAGTGAGACCCTGTCTCCAAAAAAAATAAATAAAAATAATAATAACAATAATAATAAAATAAATAATTGAAATTAAAAAATAAAAGCACTAGTTTGAGAAGGGGTCCATAGGTTCACCGGATTGGAACAAAAATGGTTAAGAATCTCTGCAGAGGATGAACAGGAAAGACATGGGCGCCAGGGGACAGGAGACCCCACTGCAGGCACAGCAGGGATCTGGGGAGGAGCGGGGGCAGGGCTCTGGCTGCAGCTGAGGCTCTGGCTTGAGGCTTATTTCCAGGGAGGCATTTCAGAGGCATGTTTGTGGGGTGCTGGGGGCAGGGAGGTCTCTCATTGCTACATTTGTTTCCTCTCGGAACCTCATTTGTGAGCTGAGAACAGCCCACGTCTTGTTTATCTGGGCCCCTGGCAGCCAGCGCGGTGCCTGGCACAGAGCAGGCGCCCGCCAGTGTTCTTGACTTTATCATTTTCCCGCATGGGAATGTATCTTTATGGTGAATGTTTATGGAATCGAATTGTCACAGCTGACGAACAGGCGACGAGGCCAGCTGAGGCCGCCCACGTGTGTGGGTGACACATGGAAAACAATACCTCCCTTCTGCGCAGCACGTTTTCCAGGGTCCTTTAGCGTCCTCATCGTGATAATCGCACAGATAACGGGGCCCCACCCGTTTATTGAGCGCCGAGCCCGAGGCAGCTGGCACATGGCCGGCTCATTTGTTCACCTGCAACACCGCGCTGTGACCACTCTACGGCACGCCGACCCCCCTCACCTTGGTATGCCATGCAGGTCTCGATGACATCCAGGGTGGGCTCATCCTCACAGAGGTCGTATGGCATGTTCCCATCAGAGTTGACAGCAAGCAAGTCGGCCCCACTGCAGACAGAGGGCCGCGGTGAGCACCAGGCAAGTGTGGCAGGGCTAGGTCTGGCTGCCTCGGCCCTCTGCCCTCTCACCCGCAACCCTGCTGTCCACCCCAGCAAGTGACACCCGGCTCTGCCCGCCACACAGCCCATGAGCACAGCAGCTGCAGGATTCTGGGAAGGAACCAAAGTCCCAGGAGAACCATCCCAGGAGACCTCCCTCACCCTCCTGCTCTGCTGAGCCAGCAGGCTGAACCTCCCTGCTGAAAATAATCAAAATAATATTAATGGCGGCCCCTGCTTAGAGCTGAGCCTGATATAAGCGCTTTACACATATCATTTTATTTAGTCCTCATAACAGTCCTCTCGGGTTCGTACTGCTGGCCCTCAAGGGGAAACAAGGACTCAGCCAGGTTTGGTCCCTTGTCCAAGATCACACAGCTTGGACAGAGCAGAGTCCAGACTCAAACCTGGATCTCCCATGTGTCAGCTCTTTTCGCTTCTCCCTGCTCTATTTCGATCTTTGCTCATGTGCAGAAACATCTTCCAGCTCCTCCTCCAAGTCCCTACCCAAAAGGCTGACCAGGAGAGGGGCAGGACGGAGCCTTGGGGCTCCCTGGCAGAATGTGCCCTTCAGGCCAGTGGTCCCCAGGCATGGCTCTGGGGTGCCCTGCGGCGGAATTACCAGGAGACCACTAAAATAAAACGCAGCGTCTTGGGCTTCACTCCAGCCCTCTCGAAATAGAGTCTCCGAGGGTGGGGACTTGAGAATACGTATGTTTAGCCCATACCCCAGGTGATTCTGGTACAGATCAGCACTGGGGACCCACTAACCAGGATGGCACCTCGTTCTTTGTCCTCTTGGCACCATGAGGCTGTGGCTACCTGATGCTCCTGGCAGGTTCTCATCAGAAGTATAGATATGGGCCACCATCTACAGTCTTTTGTCCTAACAGCCCACCACTGTGACCTTTCTGATCTGCATGCCCAGAGCAAGCTAACCCACCTCCTTGAGCTGGGGCAGAGAGAGAAAAAAGAAAGAGAGAAGAGGAAGGAAAGTGGAAGGAAGGAGGAAGAAAGGGAGGCGGGCAGGCGGGAGGAAGGGAGAAGGAAATTAGTTGGATAAAAGCAAGAGGTGGGGGGAGGCTGTTCGGGGCAGAGAGGGGCACGTACTACTGAACGAGGATCTTCACCAGGTTGATGTGGCCGCAGGTGGCCGCAGCATGCAGGGGTGTCCACAGCTCGTTGTCCTTGGCGTTCACGTTCGCACCGTGGGATAGGAGCAGCTTGACAATTTCCTCAAAGTTGTCGATGCAGCACTGGGAGGGACACACAGGCAGAGTCAGCGCCAGGCAAGGCCCCGGGCCCTGGTGGGGACACGTCACGTTCCCGAAAGAGGCCACGAGAAGGCCAGTGGAGTTGGATGGCCTGAGTTTGAGTCCAGCTCCAATGCTTACGTGCTGTAATTTTGCCCATGGCCTTGGGCAAGCCACTTAACTTCTCTGAGCTTCAGTTTCTTTGTGAGTAAAAATGAAGTTAATAGTTTATAAACTATTTATATAAATAGTATATATAAAAATATAAAGATAAAAACCACTCTGCTGACTATAAAATGCTTTGTGAGTGTTAGCGGAATGAGACAAAATTTCGAATGAGGTTTTAAAACCTTCTTGTTAATCCCAGAAGGCTTTCTCCAAACAAAATTGTATGGAGCACTCTAACTCGGTTGACCAATAAATTCAAGCAGATGGCCTGGGTCTCGCAGGTGTGTGTGTTGGGCAGTGGCCCCCAAGGTGTGGCCCTAGATCATAGTCTGAAACCTCTGACTTAGGAACTTCTAACCCAGGAGCTCAGATCTTAGGGGAGCCCCCAAGTAACCAAGACTCCCCCAAAAGAATCCAGCTCCATGTGAGGGTCCTAGGGGGTCCTGATACAGTCCCAGCAAGGAGACAGCCACATTTGTGTTCCTGCCTGTACAGAGCAGGGACCGCATGTGGGTCAGCCCCCAGAGGGAACATGGGGCTCCAGCAGGCACTGGAGCCCCCAAACTCCAGAGACAGGGAGTAAAAATCCCAAGGGGATGGAGGGGCTTCAGCTTAGGCCACAGGGAGGGAGAGGTGAGGACAAAGGAAGAAGACAGCTCGGAGCCACTTTACAGACTTGCAGGATGGAGACTCCTGCCTGGAGGTGACTTCTGGAGAAGCCAGCAGGGGACACAGCAGGGGAACCTGTGCTCAGCCCTGCCCATCCAGGTAAGGGTGTGGTCCTCAGCAACAGGAGTCCCACTCGGAGAGGCAGCACAGTCAGGCTTGCTTTGCCTGCGGGGAACAGACAGCGTGCATGAGTGCGTGTTGGGAAGGGGAATCTAGGAGCTGTGTTCCTGTGTTTCGGTGTTCCTGGCCTCCAGAAGTGACCGTGCGGATGGGGAGAAGTGGCTGGATGCCAGCAGAAGGAGCAGGGGAACCTGTGTGAGCCCCAGCCCCAGGTGGGAGTGGGCGCGGGTGTGGGATGGGGCCGCAGCACAGTCCCGCCCCCAGCCCCAGCGGGGCCAGGGCTCCGCGCCAGGACATGCGGGAAAAGAGCAGCCGTTTGCACAGATGGTCCCAGAGCCCCAGGTTCTTTCTGCGCCAGCGGGTCTGGGGGTGGCTGGGACTGAGGGCATCCCTCTGGACAGGAAAGGTGTGACCCTGTGCGGCTGGCCGGCTTGGCCTCAGGTGGGCGGGAGGACCATGCGGGTGCATGGCGCGGCCGGCAGAGGGCGCCAAAGGCGCTGGAGCCAGGCAGCCGTGGACGGCAAGGGTCCCCGGGCTGTCACTGGGGATGTGTCTGGGGAGCCCCGGGGGTCGGGGGTCGGGGGCAAGAGAGCCAGAGATCTAACCCTGAGAGACTGCAGAAAACACGGGGTGGGTGGAAGCCCCCGGCTGAAGGGGGAGGGAATTGTGTGCCCAGAATTGCAGAGTTTTGTCAGGAAGACGTCCAGGGGCTGGACCAGTCTGCACCTGGGAGACCCGGCTGGGCAAGGGCGGCGCTGGGCTGGGTGCAGGGCGCACACGGAGAGGGTGTGTGTGGTAGGGTGGGCAGGCCTCCTCCCCAGCACTCGCCAAGGTGGGAAATGGCACCTGGCAGTCCGCTGCCTCCACCCGCCTCCTCACTTCCCACACCCAATCCATCACCAGGTATGAATCCCATCTCCTAGACAGCTGTCCCCGTCCCCACTGCTCTGTCGTCTCTCTCTGCCTCCCTGCTGCTCCCCTTCCAAACGCCCTAAACCAGAGAGAGCTTCCTCCTTGATTTAATCATGCTGCTCTCAGCTCACAAACCCCTGAAGGCTCCCTGTTGCCAAGAGAAGAAAATCCACACTTTGCCAGGCATGGGAAGCTCTTCTTAATGTGCCCCAATCTCCTGTGTCGCATTGGAGCAACAGTGACAATAACGATAGCAATAACAACAGCCCCAGCAACAACGGGAATAACAACATGTCATGACAGGTGGTCAATGATAACAGCTAACACTCTTTGAGAACTTACCAGAGTCAAGCACCTTGCTAAGCTTTGGCTATGAATTGCCTCCTTTTAATCCTCAAAGCAAAGGGTCCTATTGTCCCCCTTTTATAGATGGGGACACTTGCTCAAAGAGGCCCAGTTGCACAAGGTCACATGTAAGTCGTAGGGATGGATTAAAACCCCAGATTAAAACCCATCTACAGACATGGATTAAATTCCAAGCAGTCTGACTCCAAAGGCCCTTTCTCAGCCTTGTCTCCTGCCCATCTCCATGAGCTCCCCTGCACCCTAACTGTGCCACACCGAACCCTCCAGACCCCATACTTGAAATGTGGAGCCCCTTTCTCATGGCTCTGTGCATGCTGTTCCCTCTGCTTTGAATGTCCTTCCTTACGCTTTTCTATCTAGCAAGCTCCTACTCATCCTTCAAGACCCAGCTCAGATATCCCTTCCTCTTAGAAAGCTTTCTCACTTCCTCTTTGAGTCAGGTCATCAGCTCCCAGCTTTGAGCTACCACTGAGCCCTCTGCTAACCTCCATGGGAGAGCTAACCACATTGCGGTCCTCTGTCATTATTTGTGTGCCTGGGGCTGCGCCACACACTGAAGTCTCAGAGCAGAGCCCCCGCCCAACTCCTTTCTGGAGCCCTATCCTCAGCTGAGTATCTCGCATGGAGTTTGTGCACCATAAATACTTGCTGAACAAATGAAAGGGAGCCCCCAGGCAAGTGGGGGTGGATGTCTCCCGGAGACCACCGAGAAGGGTCTCAAGGTGGGGCCCAAGGTGAGTGGGGTGGTGGAGTCTCACGCAGCAAGTTCTCACCTCCCTGACCGTGCACCCCCAGACCTAGGAACCCACAAGAGGAACTGGTCCTGAGGAAGCAATGTGACCAACAAGGAAGAAGTGGAAGAATTATACGGCAGGAACCCCAAGCAAAAGAGGGGGTGCCACTAGAGAGTTTACCGCAGCAGGGACAGCACCTCGAGGACCTGGGGCTCAGAGCGTGGGCGCTGCCAGCTGCGGTGTGCACAGAGCAGTTTAGACCCCAATGTTTCGAGTCCTGGCTCCACCGCTCGTGCACTGTTTGACCTCGGACAGACTTCACCTCCCTGAGCTGCACTGTAGCAGCCACTCTTTATTTAAATTCATACGGTTAAACAAAATTCAAAATCTTCCCAATAACCTTCTTGCTAAAGAAAAAAATAAATAAATAAAATAAAAAAAAATAAATAAAAATAAAAAACAAAATTCAAAATCCACTTCCTCAGTCACATTAGCCACACTCCCAGGGCTCTACAGCTGCGTGTGCCTGGTGGCTCCTGTACTGGAGACTGCAGGTGCACAGGACACTGCCACCATCATAGAAAACCCTATGCAATAGGGCCGTCCTGGAGCCTCAGTTTCCTGAGTCATAAAATGGGCGCAATAATATTTCAGAGGGTTGCTGTGAGGATAAGAATGAAATATATAAGTGAAGTGCTTTACAGAGAAGTGGTCACTTGATGAAATTTAATAATAATAATAACTAATATTTATCCACTATCAAGAATTGCTTAGGCTGGGCACGGTGGCTCACGCCTGTAATCCTAGCATTCTAGGAGGCCAAGGCAGGTAGATTGCTCAAGGTCAGGAGTTTGAAACCAGCCTGAGCAAGAGCGAGACCCCATCTCTACTATAAATAGAAAGAAATTAATTGGCCAACTAATATATATATAGAAAAAATTAGCCGGGCATGGTGGCACATGCCTGTAGTCCCAGCTACTCGGGAGGCTGAGGCAGGAGGATCGCTGGAGCCCAGGAGTTTGAGGTTGCTGTGAGCTAGGCTGACGCCACGGCACTCACTCTAGCCTGGGCAACAAAGCAAGACTCTGTCTCAAAAAAAAAAAAAAAAAAAAAGAGTTGCTTGAAGGGTCTTTATGTGTGTTCATTTAATCCTCACAACAACCCAGTGAGATGGGTACTTGTTATTCCTCTTTTAGAGATGAGGAAACTGAGGCACAGAGAGCTTCAGTAACTTGCCCAAGGCCACACAGCTAGCGAGTGGCAGCTCCGGGGCTTAAGTCTGACTCTCTACCCTGACGGCTTCACTTTTCCAGCACGCAGCAGGAGGTAGCCCGTCCATTTTATCCTCGGGCCCTGGGTGGTGGGTGCTGCCAGGCTGGGGGTTGCCGTTTGGGTCTCCATTACAGGGTAAGCTATGGCACTCAGCTGCTCTGCACCCTCTGGTGGAGTCTCAGGCGCCCTGGAGTTAACAGAGCTGGGGGTTGGGGAGTTTCCATGGGCAGGATTCAGTGGGGATACTGAGGCAGCTCGGAGTGGGTGCCCGAGGCCCCAGGGGACATTAGAAGCCGATAGGACACATGGAGCCAGTGGGCTGCCTGGCTGGGGCAGGGGCCTGCCCTGGGGGCTTATGGGAAGGACATGGCCAGTTTCTATTCACCCCTCCCTGACCCCGTATGGAGGGGGAGAGGCCCTCCCCCCCAGCCCAGGGATCCAGCTGCATGGCCTCTCAGGCTGCGCTCAAGTCCATCTGCTCAGAAACTTGGGCCAGGGAACAGTGAGGCTTCACTGTGTTCATTCACTAATTCAGCATGCAGTTATTGAGCACCTACTGTATGCCAGCATGGGGAAAGAGGCTGGGACACACTAATGAGCAAGAGACACGGGCTGTGCCCTGGTGCAGCTCAGTCTGAGCAGGGGGAGAGGCCAACATCCAACGACCACATTAATGGCTGAAATGACTAATTACAAGGAATAGGGCATTCAGCAAACAAAGGATGTGTCTGTCATGGGACAGCTCTCGGGCTCCTGCTGTGGATTGGAGCTATCAGGTGAATGCACCGAGCACACTGTAGGAAGTGCGGTGGCGGGGGACAAGGACCTGAAAAGCCGGGTGGCTGGAGCCTGGGAGAGCTGGGAAACATAGAGGACTGGCCAGGGGCCACACCCCATAGGGCCCTGTGCAGTGTGGCACAGAGTTTGTTCTTCACCCACAGCATTGTGGGAAGGCACCCGGGAGCTGCACGTAGCATGAGTGGATTTTTGGCTCCAGCGTCCCTGCGGCTGCGGTGTGGAGGAGGAATGACAGCAGGGCCAGACTGAGTGCTGGGCACCAGTTAGGAGGCTGTGGCAGCGCTCACGTGAGAGGTGACAGCCAGGCCAGCCTGTCCCCAGGCAGGGAGCGCTGGGCCCATGGCTCTGCCGTGGAGAGTATCTGTGCTGTACGGCACATGGCTCACGGCCCTAGTCCCAGGCCATGTGCCTTACTTAGGCACGTCACATAGCCCCTGTCGATCGCCTCTGTCACCAGGGGGGATGAGATGTCCTGGTGGGTGTGAAGGTGTTTCGTACACCATCAAGCTCCAGACGAACTTGCTTTGCTGGGCAGTGAGTATGCGGTGAACAAAGGCTCCTTGTCCTCGGAGCCCACGTGTGCACGCGCGCATGTGTGTGCCAGGGCTCTGTGGGCGTGCTGGTAACAGACACACGCGTCTCTGAAGCGGACAAGCGCCTTTCAGATGAGCCAGCTGGGGCTCCCTGCCCCCGTCCTTGAGGGTTCTGGGCCAGAAAGTGCAGGCAAATGGGGCACCTGCCCAGGTGAGGCACAGGGAGCCCGGGAACCACACGAACCCAGCCTTACCTGGTGCAGGGCTGTGAGTCCGTCCTCGTTGCACAAATCAGGGCTGACCTTGTTCTTCAGGAAGTAGCGTACTGCAACAGGAGGGCACAGGAGTGAGCTTGCTGTCACACGCGGGGTGTGCAGGCACGCAGGGGCCCAGGTAAGACCCACTGTCCCCCAGGTCCCCACACAAACGGTCTTGTTTACACCTGACAGCAGGCCTGAGCGGGAAGTAGTAACATCTTCCCATTTTACAGATAAGGAAACTGAGGCACACAACATAGGTCTTTGGTCCAGGATTTCCAAGAGGAGGATGGCACTGCCTATCTTATTATGGACAACAATAACAAGAGCTAACAATTATTGAGCACTTCCTGTATGCCGGGCCCAGAGCTGAGCAATTAACATTTGTTGTCCAGAGGGAGCACATTCCAGTCCTTGAAAGCGTTCACTCTGGGGCCCGGTGGCCCAGCTTCAAATTTGGGCACAATTCTTACTGGCTGTGCAGCCTCAGTCAAGACACTTGCTTCTTTGTGCCTCAGTTTTTTCATCTGTAAAATGGGGGTGATGTTGATCCAACCTTGCAGGGGCGTTATAGGAATAATCAAGGGGAGCCATGTCAGGGGCTGGTGTGTGCGTTGAAGGTGAACTCTTGCTCGGGCCGCTGTAATTATTTTATTAACACCGCAGGTTCCTATGCCAGGTGATAGCTCACCTGTGAGTGTCAAAGGCCCCTTCTTTGGCCTTACTGGGCCTTGGGGAGTGGGAGTAGCAGAGGCTTTTACTATGCACGATTTGTAGACTTTTGTCTAGTCATGTGTGTGTGTACATGTGTGCATGTGTGTATAGGTGTGCATGGGTGTGTGCATGAGTGTGTACATGTATGCATGGGTGTGTGCATGAGTGTGTACATGTGTGCATGGGTGTGTACATATGTGCATGGGTGTGTACATGTGTGCATGGGTGTGTATAGGTGAGCATGGGTGTGTGTGCACATGTGTTCAGGGATGGTGGTGGAGGGGGCCATGGGGACGACCTGGAATCCTTCTCACTCAGGACGACCCCCTCCCCTTATGATCGTGACCTTTCTTCCTTCTCTCCCCGCCGCCCCTCAGGCCCCGGTTCTCCCCTGAAGCCAAGTACAAAGGGAGGAGCGGAGAGCTAGCCCGTCAGCCCTGCAGGCCCTTTGGCAAGCGGGACCCTTGATCTCTGGCCCGTCTCTAGCCAGGCCTCCCCCTGGACCGAGTAGTGCATGGGCTGATGGGGTGTGTCCACAGGAGCCCACGTTCCCCTTCTGGGCCACACTCTGCCACCCCGTCCGCGTGGCTCTGAGACTGTCCACAGGGCCTAACAGGCTGTCCCTGGATCCAGCTTCCCAAGGGTGGCCTGTGTGGTTAATGGGCAAGTGTCCCTCTGCAGACAGAGGGGTGAACAAGGGGTGGCTGTTTGTGGGGCGAGTGGACAGACTTGAATACACGTCTGGGGGCCCTCGTGTCACGGTGCTGATGAGGCCAGGGCTGGGGGACGTCTGGGCCCTCCTTGCAAAGGGGAGACGCAGGCTGGCCCTGGCCCCTCCGAGCCTCCTCCCGCCCCCTCCAAGTCTGGTCCCTCTGGAACATGAGCCGAAGTCACATCCCCCACTGCCCACTGAGGACACTGTCTCCACGCTGTAGTTCATGCAGCTGGGCAGGGCTGAGGCGGTTTCCTTCCCGGTTTGCCTCTACTGTGGAGGAGCAAACTGGGAGTGGGCTGGGAGGGCGGGGAGAAGGCCATCCCTCTGCAGGACACAGTACCCGGTCTGCAACCCCAGGAGGTGGGGGTGGGGAGACGCTGGTGGGCAAGAGGTGGGGGTCCATGAGGCCTCAGGAGCAGGGCCTGGGGCAGCTCCTCCCTCAGGAGGCCCAGCTCCTGGACCACAGCCCCATTGCACCCTGGGCCCTGGCTTAAACAGAGGCCTCTGCCCAGCAAGGTGTGACGTGTCCAGCACACCCGCCCAGATGCACTGCTGGCAGGGGAGCAGTGTGGCAGGACTCTGTCCAGCAAGGGCCAGAGCCTTTGCGGCCACACTGCCCAACAGGCAGCCACTGGCTACATCTGGCTCTTGTGGCTACTGGAATTTAAATTAATAAACACTCAGAATTCAGTTGCTCAGTCACTCTGTGTTCAATTTCAAGTGCCCAATAGCCACATGTGGAGCCACAAAGGGGAGAAATTGAACCATATTGGAAAGGGCAGAAATAGAACATTCCTACCTTCACAGAAAGTTCTATTGGACAGCGCTGCTTTCAGGTGTTATACATGGAAATGAGCTCCATCACAAATTGCTAAACCTTTCCATGGCTCCCCACTGCTCGGGGAACATGGTCTACAAGGTCTTGCATGGTGTGATCCCTGCCTGCAGGCCACCATCTTGCACAACTCTAGGGGACCATTCACATCGTGGTTTATGAGCCTGGAAGCTCCTGGAGCTGTGCAGTGCGCAACTTACTCGCTGTACACAGTGATCCCCCTGCCTACCTCCCTGGTCCCATTTCTTAAGCCACAAACACTTTCTAAAATAGTCTGTTGTCAGCTACAGAGTCACCACACTTCCTCTGGCCAATGAGCTTCTCCATAGTCTCTTCCCACTGCCTGGAAGACCCAATCATCTACCCATCTATCCATATGCCATCATGCAGCCATCCATCCATGCATCCATTCATGTCTGCACGCATCCATCTACCATCATCCATCCATCCATCCTCCACCACACATGCATGCATCTATCCACCCATCCATCCATCCACCATCATCTACCATCCATGCATCCATCTCTAACAGATATGCACACACACACACACACACACACACAGCTGCCCCATTCTTCATCCTTTAGGTCTCAGCTCAAACTCTCCAGACTCCCCCTGTTATGCCTACCTATAGCTTCTATACATCTCACTTATAGCCTTATCATAACCATAATTACATAACAATTTGGGTAATCATGGGCTTTGCGTCTGTCTGCCCACTGGATGCTAAGTCCCAAGAATGCAGGACTATGACCTGGTACTTAGGGCTCTATCCTTAAGGCTCGGCACAGAGTAAATCCTCAAGAACTTCTCCAGGACTTTGATCTAATTGTCAGTGCCCTAGTTCAGTCCAAAGACACGGCCTCTCCATCTCTGAGCACAGCTCACCCTCCAATGCTGACTCCAGAAGACCCGTGTCTGTACTCTGCAGCTCTGCTCACAGGTGTCTCCTACAGAGCTGCGGGTGACCTGGTGGCTGGTGTTAGCCTCAGGGCCCACTAAAGAGATTATGCAAAGCCACTGATCACCAAGGTCTAGCCTGACCAAGGCTGGTGCCCTGAGCCTGACAGACGGCCTTGGAGAGAGTAGAAGGAGCCACTATGTCCAAGGTGGGTTTCCTGGAAGGTTCCACTCACATGAGACAAGGGTTCAAGTCCTACGGGGTGGGAGGTAGAACAAGCTTTCTGTCCAGGAGACACTCTATGAGGCAGAAAACAAGCATCAGCTGCCGAAAAGCAGTGCTCGTGCTCAGTAATTGTTGTGGTGCTCTCTGGGCTGTGCAGGAGTCCAAGGCGTATAATTACCCTGGTGTTGGGCAGTTATTTTCAGCCCAAGAGGTGGGACAAATCATCCCCATCTTTAAGAAGCCCTTAATATTCATGAGCCAAGGGTGCCTCAGCAAAGCTACTCCACTGTAGCTAGGAGTCCGGTGCCTGGCTCTGCACCCAGCTCACCGGAGCAAAGCCCCGTTACCCCGTGTACGACCAGGCCTCCTGCCTCTGAAGTCCAGCAAGAAACATGATTCTTTCATCAATACCTTCCTTCTGTGCCTTTCATTTGCATCCAGGTCAATTCAGAACCACTTTTGTTCACAGGGTCACATCTGCAATTATTCTTCTTATACAGAAGAGGAGACAGAGGGTCAGGAGGGTGTAGCTCAGAGTCACATAGGACCAAATGGAGGAGCAGGGATTTGGCACCAGACCTCTCTGATTTCAAAGCCCAGGCTGTTGGTCAGTGGGCTGTTCTACTCTGCCCTGTGGCCAGGAATGGGAACCAGCGTTTCCAGAGCCCTGCTCAGTGTCCAGACCTGTGCTGAGAGCTGGTACGGGGAGGAGGAGGCTAACAGGGAAACGGACAGTGGTGGCCTCTGCTTCCGAGACCAGCTACGCATGAGTGGCCCTCAGGTCTTAGGCAGGTCTTTATGCAGACAGAAGGGCTCAGGGATCTGCAAGTAGGACAGAAGAAATATTGCTGCCTCTGTTAGATCTTTCAGGGCAATTTCAAACATAAAATCCCCTCACTCCCTGCTTACAGCCCTCTCCTGGCTCCACACTGCTCTTGGAATGAAGTTCAAAATCCTTCCATGACTTTCACTGGGATTGGCAAATACGGCCCGTGGGCCAAATCTGGCAGGCAGCCTGTTTCTGTAAATAAAGTTTTATTGGCAAACATCCACACTCATTCATTTACATATCGCCTATGACTGCTTTCACCCTGCAACAGCAGATTTGAGTAGATACAACAGAGACTGCATGGCCCACACATCCTAAAATATTTACTATCTGGCCTTTTACAGACAGAGTTTACAGACCCCTGGTCTTCAAGGTCCTGTATGGTGTGGTCCTGTCTACAGAGCGACTGTCGTGCAGAATTCCAAGGCAAAATGCAAGGTGCTTGCATAACAGTTCCTTGCTCTGTTCTCACCATAGTCTATGTGAATGGGGTGCCCCGGAACTGTGCAGCGCTCAGCTTGCTCAGCTGTGTCCCGAGGTCCTGTCTCCCTGTCTCTCCAGGCTCATCTCTTGCTCCCTAAGAACCTTGCACAATGGAAGAGGCTGTCTTGGGGCTCTAAAGTGCTGACCAGAGCTCAGGGAGCACCAAGACAAGAAGGGCATGCTCTCCCTGCAGCCAAGCGTGTCCACCGCTTCTCCTGGTTGCCCACACTCAGGTCTGCTCCCTGCCCACCGAGCCCCAAGTCCCAGGCTCGGCCATCAAGTGTCAGAGTGACCCATTTGTTCTCTCGCCTATGTTTAGCTGTGGCTTCGGGCAACTTATCCCTCCTCTCTGTGCCTCTGTGTCCT